ACTGTGCAAAGGGCTCCTTGGCCGTCCATTAACAACTTCCCTCCTTCTCTGGCTTTATCTATGGCAAAGGTTCCGCTTTATCCTCCCTGCTGCCCCATGCGAAGGAGCCCCGTTTATGAGCAGTGTTTCTAAATCTTAATTTTTCTTTTCCTCGTCGTGTGGGTCACGTGGCCCTGCTAAAAGCCAATGGAGCAGCTGTCCGGAGCCCAAAACCGGCCACCCATCGGGAGGCGGGGAAACGGCGGTGGGTCCGGTGGAGGCCGCGACGTCCGGAACATCCCGGTGCCCCCCACGGTTCTCTTCTGGCACGAGAGAGACCTGTGCCAAAAACAAGGGGAAACTCCTCCATATGGTTCCGTCCAGATTAGGATCTCCGACCAAGGACTGGGTGGTTGTTCGCTGCCATCCCTGGCGGTCTGGAGGGAGAGCACCCGGGTTCCTCCAGTGGACAAAGAGAAGGCCATTTTGCAAGTAAGTGACGGGACCAAGGCCCTAAGTCCTTCTGACCGCTGGATGTCCAGCATGACCTCCCTGATCTCTTCCACCCGGCGCTGGGCTTGTCATTTCTACACTATGCCCTCGTGGCTTTCAGAGAAGACCTATTGAAGGATGTATTGAACTGGGTCTGGCAAGGACTCGGTAGATCCTTGCTTTCGGTAGAGTCTGGCTCTGGGGTTTGCTCCTGTAATTCTGCAGGAAAGTGGCAATCATGACGCCAGGCCTGGGAGATGGGTGGAAGGAGCTCCTTTCCACCCCATCTCCTCCTCCCCTGTTTGGTCTTCGAGGCCATTCCTAGACGTCAATCTGAGTTCGAATCCAGGCTGGGTTTCCACTGGAGCTTCAGACTTGATTCCACAACATGCACGGGGGGGCGGCTCTGAGCGTGTGGAATGTGTCTTCTTCCTGACCACTGCATAGCTACCGGGAGCCAAAGGAGGCTGAGTTTGGGGGAGTGACTTTTTCCCCTTGTTTTGGACAACAGCATTCTGAATTTCCCTGCCAGCGTGAGAATTAAGACACTCGATTTTATTTTACTTTTCCCAAGTTTTGGCTAAGGGCCTAGCACACCTCCTTAAGAAAAGCTCTCTCTCTCTCTCTCTCTCTCTCTCGCCTGGTATCCAGATTTGGGAGACACTTTCATGCTAACCCGGGTTCTTCTGATAATCTAGTTTGTCCAAATCTAGTTTGTTCCAGCCCCAAAATATCTCCTCCTTCCCTTGTCCACTTTTTTGGTGACATTCCGGGTTCTTCTGATAATCTAGTTTGTCCAGATCTAGTTTGTTCCAGCCCCAAAATATCTGTCTCCTCCTTCCCTTGCCCACTTTTTTTGTGACATTCTCCCAAGCGATGACCCTCCTCGTTCCCCCCACCACCCGTTTTAAAGGAACCAGTAACCCTGGTGTTGTGTGTGTTGCCTTTTCCTTCTCTGCTGGCTCTGGGATTAGGAAGTGAGGTCTCCCCTTCTCCGGGGGGGGGGTCAGGGTTGACAGCCCCCTAGGAATGCGTGGAAGCACAGGAAATAAATGGTTTGCTAATAGGTGGTGGCACTCACGGTGCCGCATTTAATTATCCCAGAATAGCTAAATCTTTGCTGTTGAATAGCCACTAAGTCACAATGAAACCCTAGCAAATGCCATCAATTCGAAAAAGGCCAAATTAATACATAGTCAAAGTGGTCTTAAAGAGCAAGTAAGTGGTTAGATAACTAAGTGGATTTAAAGCCCTGTATATAGGAAGGAGTGGATGTTTTTTATATATATAAATATAAACACACACAGAACAGAGCACGTTGAGTAGTGAGGGTGGTACGTGTATGTTGCAGCCTCAGTGGAACTCCAGTTCCCATCAGCCCTTCCCAGCACAGCCACATGGGATTTGGAATCCAGTCTCTTCCTCATTCCCTGATCTGAGTTGCCAACAAAAAATACGGGTGTAAATCATTTCTCCTCCAGTTTTCTAATCACCTGGATCCCTGTCCTCCATCTCTTGCTTCCCATACCACCGAACTGTCTGCGGCACTCTGTCCATGCTCACGGGCACTCTTTCCCTGGCTCAGAGAGATGCTTTTATGACACTCACCACCTTTCTGTGCCTGGTCCCGGGAGGTGTTTTCCGGGTTCCTACCCCAAGCTATCACCAGAGGGACTCAGTTCCCTTCTTAAAGGGAGACCCATGCCATGTGGGGGCGGGGGAGCTCAGCTCAGCCCAGCCCAGCAGGATAAGCTCAGGCGGCCATTTCGCACCGTCTAAACAAACCCTGGCGGCTATTTTTAGTGGCCGTGGTGGATCCCACCAGAGGGAAGAAACCTCCCTTCGAGTCCCGGGCCTGGAGGCAGCTTCCTTCCAGCAGCCGCAGGAGAGGGTGAGGAAATAAACCCTGCACTGCTTCCTTTCCAGAGTTTGGAAAAGTGAGGCCCACAAACACGTGGGAATGGCACAAGGGACAAGACACGGGTTTTGGGGTATATATATTTGGAAACGCCCAGTGGGGGAAGAATAGATCTTCCCTGCAGGTGGAAACATAAGAGCGTCCTGACAGCTTAGCTTTCAGCCTGCAGGGCCGTGGGGAATCATTTAATACTCCACGCAGGGAGAAAGAGAAACAGAGCGAGAGGGACCACCTGGAATGGTGTCAATCCAGGCCGAGATTCAGCTTTGGGGGAGAGCCAGGCAGGGCAGAAATAAAACCGAAATAAAGCCGTTTTATATCTTTGACTTAGAGGACATCGGAGCCAAAGGAAACCAATCCAGTAAATACGAAAATGTAACGAGGAGCCAAAGAGTGCGGCGTCTTTAAACGGAACGGAATCCGAGGGTGGTCTTTTGCGATATATAAACCGATCTTCCGACACGGGGAAAAGAAGACGACCATCTGCCGGTCGTGTGAATGGGCTTCACGACTGGCCCGTTCAAGGGGGTCGAGGTCGAGGTGGAGGTGGCTGGCGGCAGTGAAGTCCGCGTGGATTTAAAAGCTGCCCCCCCCACACGCACGCACACACATACAAACACGTCCGCAACAACTCCAGGAAAGCCTTCGGGTCTGAAAATGATCAATTCGTTCACTTACAGCATTTATTTTCCCTGTGCCGCCTTTCTCCTAATAGAAACCCGGGGTATCTTACAACAAAAATCTAAAAAAAAAAACAGATCTAGCTAAACTCCACAATGCTTTATGGGGCTGAAACTCAGTTAAACCGCGTTTCTTCCTCTGATGCTAACTCACCTGCAATGCGGGGTTGCCGCCTCGCGTAAGATTGGGGGGGGTGGCCGCTCCCGTTTACGCCTGCGCCCAACACCTCCCATTTCTGGAGTGTTTTCTGGCCAGACCTTTTATGGACTACGTCTCCCAGAATCCCCCGGCCAAAGAAGAATGTGTCCCAGCTGTGATTTAGGTAGTGGTTTGTGTGTACGGTGGATTGATAACCCGCCTTTCCCTGCCCGAGTTAGAAGTCAAGGCGGCTCATAACAAAACTGAAAATAGATAGAGGTAAAAAGACGGTGATGCATTCTGAGGTCAGAAGATATTTACCTAGGCCAGGAAGAATATAAAGTTGCCCCTTATCTCCAATCCTATTTATATTGGCAATAGAAGTGCTGGCCGAAGTAATCAGAAAAGATCGCTTAATTAATTGCGCGGATATTAGAGACGATGACAAAATATACTTGTTTGCAGACAATACCTTGTTAATAATTAAAAATCCAAAAGAAACATTGCAAAAAAAAATTCACCTTTAAACTGATTTGAAGAAACACCTGGATTAAAAGTGAATTGGGAGAAATCTGAATGCATTTTATTAAATCATCCAGAAGCAGACAAGGAGGAATTGAAAAAAAGAATTTGAAGGAAGAAGAGAAAGTGTAATTAAATGTTTAGGAATTTATATTACATGGAATTTACAAGATATGTCAACTAAATATGGATAATTTGAAGAAAGACATTAATGAACAGATGATCACCATCAAAAATTTAAAATGTCTTGGTTTGGTAGAATAGCGTTATGTAAAATGAAGATTATCCCTAAACTCAATTTTGTATTTTGGATGCTCCCAATAAAGATAGGGAAAAAATGCTTGAAAGAATGGCAGAGATTAATAAATAGTTACTGCAATGGAAATAAGTGAAGGATTAATAAGAGGCTATGGTATATTACATAAAAATAAGGAGGGCTTGGATTACTTAATATTAGATCATATTACATCTCAAACTGACTTATACGAGATATAGTAATAGTGCAAAACTGAAACTTAATATGGAAGGAACTTGAAATGCCAGAATACTCTGAGAGAATGGAGGGCTTCTTCTTTAAAGAAAGAACTGTAGAAAAAATAAAGAGAATAACTAACCCCTTTCAGATGACTATGTTAGATGCTGGAATAATTATAGATACTGTATATATATTGACAGCACCTATTTCACCATTATTACAAGTAGTGGAGGTTTAGAGTTTCCCCCAAATTCTTAAAAATAAACTTAAAGAAGTATTAATAGAGAAAGGGTTCAGTCCTATAAAGAGTTGGATGAAAAAGATACAAGATGAGACTATCATAATGGAAATTTGGGGGGAAGAAGAAGGAATTTCCTGGTTAAACATATTCCAAATGGAAAGTTGAACTAGAGAGTGGACAAGTAAAAAAAGGAGGGACTAGAAAATTGACAAAACGTGAGATTATCGGACAAAGACAAGATCAGGAAGAAGGAAGTAAAAGAAAGGGAACAGTTGGTATAATTTATAGAATGTTGGTGCATTCAGAATCTGATCAAACAACGATGAAAAATCAGTGGCAAGCGGAGTTTAAAGAAGAGATTAAAGGATAGGACTGGAATAACATATGGTCACAAAGAATAATGAAGAATATGTATATATGGGTAAAAGAAAATTGTTAAAAGACAGCATGGAGATGGTATTTAGCTCCAGCAAGATTGAATATAGTAAATAAAAATATACCATCTCAGTGCTGGAGATGCAAAAAGGAACCTATATGCACATGTGGAGGACATGTGAAACAAGAAAAAAAGAAGAAGCAGAAGAACGGGTACTGGTTTTTTAAGGAAATTAGAAGAGATTTTAAATAATTATAACATGGAGGCAAGAAAGCCAGGATCCTGTTTGGGAATTTGGGGAGGTGTCTGTGGTGCGGTCTTTTGTGCGCCTCGCCAACTATGCCCAGCCAGGAAGAAGTTACAGGACTCATTGCTTGGCTTGTGCCATTTAAAGGTCTTTTTAAATGTACATTTTTTAAAAATATGACGTCTAAACCATGAACAAGCGAAGAAATTCCTGGAGGAGACTCCACCCCAGGACCTTCTGTTCCTGTTTAGATTAGATTTAGATTTTTTTTAATGAAAGAAAAAAAATAATGGCTTGTTTAAAGAAAGGTGGGGGCAACAACAGGTTGAGTAGCATTTAATCCGGAATATCTCTGTAGAGATCAATAGAGCGCTCAGTGGAGTGAAAACGAATTTTATTTTTAGAGTGGTGGATGGGGGACCCCAACTGGCACCAGATCACACTCTCCCTTGCCGAAAAGGCAGACGGAAGGTTTGGAATTTTCCAGCGACTGTCCCACAAGGATTGATTGATTGATTGATTATGCCGCCTTTCTCCCAGAACTGGCGCCCAAGGCGGTTTACCGCACAGTTTTAAATAGGAGAAAATTAAAATGCAAGAACGTTGCAAACCTTACGTTCATTATGTTATTAAAATCCAATTAAAATTAAAAAGCAAAACGGGGGGGGGGTTTGAGAAGGAAACCCGGAGGGAAGGGGTCCGGTCTGGGCGGGGGGGGGGCGGCGGAATCTCTCTCCTGCCTCATTCCTTAGCTGTAAATCGGGGAGAGGAGCAAGCAGGGGGAGAGAATTCATTTTCCACCCTAATCATGCAGGTCAAGGTTGTGAGAGAAATAAACAAGAGAGGAAAACCGGAGTGAAACCTTTTGTCCCCGTCGATGGTCTCCTCTCCCCAGAACTGGAGGAGGAGTGGGCGGGGGAGGGTGGCAGCCACTGCTTGCCTTCCCCGGTAGCATCTGGATTACGGTTAAGGGGGAGGAGAGAATGAAACAAAACCAGAGTGAGTCCCCTTCCCCCCCCCCCCCCCCCGTTTCCGTGTGAATGGGAACATTCGTTCTGGATTGGAGGCGATCAGTGTGTGTAGGGGTGGGGGGGTCTTGCTAAGAAGTGCCAGTTCCTCGGGAACCTGGAGCAGCTTCCACCAGGAGGATTGGACTCGTTTTTTTTGGGGGGGGGAAGCAATGCGATTCTCCCAGCACGCTTAGCCCCGAAGTCCGGAGTCTCGTTTCGCGCGGAGAGACGCCGATCGTTCCCGTAAGCGCCCTTCACTGGGGCGGCGAAGCCTCTGAGGTCACTTGGGACGTTGCTGGGGAGGCAGGAAAGGGTCCGGGGGAGGGGTGTGCCGGCGGGGGAGGGGGGCAGACCACAAAAATGGGGGTTTTTCATCA